CAGAGATGACGGGTCTCTCTAACACAATGGTGATTGCATGAACACATTTTAGGGCAGCCTTATCTGGATAATGTGTCAACCTAATCCCTATACATTTTTGTAGTTGCATAAAAAAAAGTTTTCATTTCTCTCTTCCTCATCTTGTAGCCCATAATTTAGATTGGAAATACAAAAGTAAAGACAGGTCATGCAATAATTAGTTACTCTGGGTCACTTAAGAGGATTTTAAGGCTGATAGTAGAGTCTTTCCCATAAATCTCATCAAGGGTGGATCGCAGTTTGGACATCGCCAAGGTCTCATTACATTTTAAAAGAGGGATTCGAGGCTATGCGGCAGGCAGCTTTACCGGTAGACTAATAGACAAATGCGATTTTTAAGCAATCCAGGCCTCTCCCAAATTACAGTTAGATCACGATTGTCGCCTAAGTAAAACAGTATTTGTCATTGTAATCCACGATGCTACTTATTTTCGATAAGGGTAGTTTTTAATATTATCACTAATTCTTAAGTAAAGACCTATTACCCAGAAGCACATAAAGTGCTGGTGGGATTTATGTCCTAATTATATGAATAAGCCTCACCATAACATTTAATAAGTACCTTCATTAATTGTAATGATAAATACAAAGGATCCACTAGAAATGTGATTTGGGAAAGGGCCTGATTCGCTTTATAAGTAATAACCCTACTATTTCGTATGCGATTAGTTTTTCGAGACTCATACATAACTCCACTGTGACCCAGTTCCACCTGTGGTTATAGCCCGAAGTTCTACGATTTCCCCGCGATGCACATGATCAGGTTTTGAATCCGCTTAAGAATGTTAAGTAGACCTAGGCGAAGGTGAAACTGCTTTTCACTCTGGATAATAAAACCTTCTGAGTAATAACGCAGAGTTATATTTATTTGCATTTAATTGTGAAAAAAACTCCAATTGATACCAAGACCAATTTGACAAAGTTGCAAAAACAAGGTTAAACAACTTCTAGACAATGAAAAGAAGATGCGACCACACAAAAGGCCATACCATCTTGGTCTTCATGGCTCCAATTTTCTATTTTCCCCTAGGCGATCTAGGCTAACTAATTCCTTATTCCAGAATTGCTGATCGTTTCAAATTATACTTTTCTTCCTTTCAGGCTAAACAAAAATAAGATAGGTTTTAGGGACGAATAGCTTAACATATATAATATATATATTCAGCCTATTTTGCTTAAGGTGAATAAGGAATTTTATTTAAATTTTCCTACACTTATATGAGTAGACCTCATATTGGTGAACTGCAGTTCTGACCTCACTTAGGCTTCGTCAACACCCCCTGGGGTACTCTAACCCTGTTAGTACATTGCATAAACTTGACATGTTAAACATTACGTCACACTGCCACGAGTGCCCTTGTGTCATAGGCAGAGATGAATTTCACTGAAGCATGTGCAATGTCACTTTAATCTTAGTTGTTGAGCATCCTATTTATTCTAATATACACGATAATATTTTCCATTTTATCCATATATTCTTCTCTATCTATCTTTATTGTTGGGCATCCTCTTGTTTGTAAAAGAATTTTCTGAGTTCTTTTCAATATTCAATATATCTGCGTTATATTCGTTGGATCTTCCTACTCTTGGGAGTTGAAAGAATACACCGCTAAAATGGGAGCACAAGGCCTATCCATATCATTGTGGAAAAATTTAACTACCGGCCCTTTATTACCTTAAATAACTCATACAAAATTCACTCAGCTGGGAATAAATTCCTTTAGTAGATGGCAAGCCATCACCTAAAGTCAATAAGTCGAGCCTTTATTCGGGATAACCTAGTCCATTTATCCTGTCAGTCCAGGTGGGATACAGGGCAAGGAGAAGGGATCGAAATGACTCGCTCGAGAACAACACTTACTATGCATCACTTATTAAACTTCGTAAAATACCTTTTTTTTAGTGCTCTGGCGTTCTTTCATTATCAGCTCAGGCGGTGTGCTCACAAATGCTTTGGATTTCTCTTCTTTAAGCAAAGTTTCTGATGGGTATACCGCGGGTCAAATCCACACTGTTGTCAAGACTGTGCTGACGGAAAAGCGCATTGCCCGCCTTAGTCGAAAACCTCTAAAAGCGCTCGAGTTCGTCACCCCTTTGGCAAAGATAGATCCTGTTTTCACGGAAGAGGAAGAGGCCTTTAAGGTAAACATTTTGCCTTGCTATTACCAACATGACAAGTGACTTGTTAACCAGGCGAAAGTGATATCAGATATGCGTTGATGTTATGAGATAATGTGACTTTATGAATCCCAAGCATGTTAAGTTTAGAATGCATTCGATCAGTCTATAAGCATATTCCTTACTTGTATTTTTTGTCATTGGATGATTTAAATATGCATTTTTCATTTGATACTAATACTCAATCTGACGATCTCCTTCCACCTCAGTAGTTGATTTAATTTAAACTAATAGATTATAGAAGTGCGACCATACCAGAGGCCACAACATCTTGATCTTCATATCTTCAATTAACAGTTTATAACCGACCACAAGGTCCCATTACAAACAAGTGTTACTTGAACCACCACTCGGGCTTCAATTCAACCTGATGAATGCTATAATCATTCGCCCTTGAACAGAAAGTGGATAATAGTGGCAGAGATCTGCACTTTCTATCCAAAGGATAGTTGGATCCGGCAAAATGCGACTTTGAAAAGTAGAAGATTTAACTTGAATGGTACGTCTTCTGCTTAACAGGCTTGCACAACACGCACAAATTCACTTGGATACATCAGCCCTTCATACTAGTTCCAGATTGGGACATTTTCGCGTAAAATACGTTTTATGGACTGAACAAATAATACTAATAATAATGGCAATCTCCATAAATAGAATTTCCAGGTGCATCTAAGGGTCCAGCATGAAGTTCTAAGTACCGTCTTCTAACTAATAAGACGATTTGTAGTTTACTAATGGATTATGGTCCACTACGATCTAAATGATGTCAGAAATGCTTTTGAAAAAGTACAATTCTTTCATTAGTACGACAGTAAGATGTGATGTTCTATTAGTGCCGTAGTAATATCAAAAGTGATCGTCCTCAGATGTTTTAGGGCAGACTAATTATTCATTTCAAATGAGTATGGCAAAGAAATTAAACCAGGAAGAATAGTCTGGAGGCACCAGCGACATAATTTCCTATCTAGTAGAAAAATATTGTTTTGGCTTTGTGCCTACTATGTATTGAGTAGTCTTTCAGGAACTACTATCTAAGCCATGGAAGTGGTCTGATCTCGTGTCTATAACTTGGTCGCATTGTCAGTGCGACCTGGTTGGACGCACCTTATCCGAGGACCTCCGCTGTAGTAATTATGATAACTCGAAACGTTGGACCGCGGACATGGTTATTGGCATAGTCAGTGGGTTTCGTCATTCTCACTACTAAGCCACAACTCGTCAAGGAAGCAATTGAAGTCAAGTGAAGTGAAGAAGTGAATTCCCTTGATCCACTTTTTGTCGAACAATTGTGCTATTGCTTCTCTTTACGTCCTGGCACATCTACCTACTCCCTAACCTCTTATTCTATTACGGCCCTATCACAATTTCTGACTTATGTATATTCCACTCATTTTGCGTATGTAAGAATAGTTTCGAGACTACCAGTAAACCAGTAATATGAGATTTATTTACTCTATTTCGTTTAAGGTGATGAAGGATTGGTAGTAAAATTTTCCCACAATGATATGTGAAGAGCTGACGTTTCCATCAGTCCTTCATCATCTTAAACGAAATAGGGTGAATACATCTAATATAACTGATTTGCTGGTAGTCTCAAAACTCTACTTACATACGAAAAATAAGTAACGTTGTCGATTGTTATGGCAAAAAGACGTTTGCTTCATCGACAATCCCAACAAAGAATGTGATATGGGAAAAGGCCTGGCCTTCCTTGAAATTCACATCTGCCCTGTGACCCAAGGGCACTCGTGGCAATGTGACCGAGTGGTTAACGTGTCACGCTCGCATTCTGCCCTGTCACGGTTCGACTCCTACTGGGGTTTTGACAAGATCTATGCGAGGTCGAGACTACAGTCCACCCTGAATGTGAACAGCTTTTGGGAAAGCAAGGCTATGTGAAATTCAATGGAAACGTCAACTCGACACATATAATTGTGGGAAAATTTTACTACTTGTCCTTTATCACCTTAAATGAAATAGGGTGAATACATCCTATATATTCCACTCCTCAAGAGGTCTGTCTTTTTTTGGCGGGTCTAGTGTGGCGTCATCACACCTGCTGTCTATATTGCCCCCCTTCTTCTCCATTTGCCAATCCAATTCAGGTCACCTATACGGATCTCCCTCATGGGCCCGTAGATCCGTTTTTTATCTTTCTAGCTGATTGATTTCATTCGGTTTCAGTCCAAGTACACATTTCACTTTAGACGTTATAGCACAATCATTCGAAAAAAAGTAGGTCAACGGATTGACTTCACATATTTCTTGACACGTTGTAGCTTGTTGCTGAGACTGCTGGAGAAAGGTCTAGGAATGTCCAACGCTGGGAATTAGCATGACCACTACAGCCGACGACAAGATGCGTCCAACTAGGTCGACCTGACGACAGGACAAATTTGCGAAAACAAGGTCAGACCACTTTTATACATCAAAAGGAGACTGCAACAAAAAAGAGTCAACAACATTTTGGTCTTTATATCTACTATCTGAGCTCTCTACGATGAGTTGAAGATAAAGCCTCATTTTTATGAGAATTTCATTATACGTTTTGCCTCAAATACGTTTACATTAAAGATTAATAGCAGTTTCTTTCCTCAGATAACATCAATAGCTTAAACACCCTCATCTCAAAGATTTAGAAAGTCAATACACTATCCTCTAGATTACTCGACCTTAGCAACATAGCTGGACAGAGCTAGTAACCCTTTCAATGCCAAATAAACCTAATAACTCGCATCCATAGTGGATGTATATCAAACAAACAAATATGTACTTTTCATTAACTTTATTATATTACCTTATAGTATTTTAAAAGAACAAGTATTAATATGAAATCAGACATTAGTCTCAGTTTTCACAGTATAGCAACTATCAAGACCAAATTTTCCGACTGCCAATAGGGCTCGTTCACATTTGAAATGCGAGGCATCGACTCATCTTGAGCAGCTTAATCAAGATTCTTTTAAACACCACTTTCCTCCCAAAGCCATCCATTAATTTTGAACCCACATACTTTGTTTGATGAACTCAGAAATGGGGCATTAAGTTTATATAATGGGGTAATATGGATCCATTAAGCCCCTCATCAATTTTACCACGGTAAAGGCTTCACAGAATTGTCTAAAGGGTTTTGAAATCTAATACCTAAATCTCAACCTCTATCAGTGGTTGTCATTCTTCCTATATACGTGATATCCATACGTTAGGTAGGAAAACATCGTATATAATCCCTTTTTTAGGAAAATATGAAGGATACCACATTTTGCTAATAGCCAATTGCGAATCGGTTATGTTTTGACCAATAAATAAAATTTTCTAATAGGGGTTGGAGAAAAACTGTATGAATCATTTAATATTCCGAGGAAACTCTAACTAAGAGAAGTTTGAGGAAATAAAGAGATGTCCTGATTACCCCACAATATTCACTGTAACTTGATATTCAATTTTAACTGCATTATCCATTTCGAAGTCCAAAATAGGCATTTGTTTCTGCAATTCTCAAGTCCGAATCGGGTTATAACGTCCCTATATAAATAGTTGACTGTAATAAAAAGACAATTAAAAAATTGCTCTCAAATGCCATATTTTATAGTTTTTTTAATTAATGAGGTTTTTTGGCTCAACTATGGATGTAAAGGGCTATCCCACTAAGTGGCATTTGCTGATTGAACAAATTAAAATTATATTGATAAGTCGACTTGAGAATATACTGAAATGAATTTAATTAAAATGTGTTTTATTTTACTAAATTCAGTGAAATACTATCATTTCTTATTTTAACTAATTGGCTCACGGGAAGCTCAACTTACCATTCATTAACTTTTATATAGACTTACCCCATTTTGCCTATAAACTCATCTGATCTGATACTTTATTATACACTTATTTTTACCTCAGCAATGGTATACGAGAACACCATTAGGAAGGAAACGTGAACTTGCCGCTCAACGGGAGGCAGAAGAAGCTGCTGGTGGAGGCAACACTAAGAACAAAAAGGGCGCCCCGGGAAAGAAGAAAAAGTGATGTGATACATATAAGTCAATATTACCATAGGCTTTACAAAATATTCCTTCCCATCAGGAGTAACTTCGTTCGATAACCAAGCTGAGCAACAATTGCCTCATTTTATTCGTCTTTCCTTAAAACAACTGAAAGCACGGTTGTTCTTCCTTCCATATTGATGTGCCAAGAGGGTTCTTTTCGCTTTTGTGACCAGATACTCGTGCATGCTTTCAAATAAAATCATAGTTCGACTATGTAATATAAGTTATTTATAGATTAGAGCTTCAGTGCATTTTACAAAGTTCATAGCAGCAATTTTTTCAACCAAAGCTATTGTTGACCGAAAAGTTGGAATCCTATAACTGACTGCACAATATATACTATTTTTGAAGGAAATTTGCTTTTTATCAAATTCCATATCCATTATTTGTGAGGCAGGGAAAATGGACGACAAACCTTTGACATTAGACATAGAGTATTTATTACTATTAATGGAACTTTCACTAAACACTTAGATGCTGAAACTATCAGTAGCCCTTGACCTTTGTAATGAAATGAGAGTTGAGTTTGTCACAATGCAAAATGGGCAAGACCTTTCGATACCTAAAAAGATTTTCTCTTCCAGGATTGGTTTTAAAACCGGATTCGAAATAGGGTCCTGTTTTTCATTTAACTTACACGCCAACGATTCGAATCCAGTTGGGTGGGTTGATGAGACCCATGTAAGCTCAAACTGCATACTAGTATTCAAGAGTACATCACATTGGAAGGTAAGAATAATAAAAAGTTAGTAGTATCTTAAGGCCTCCAGTTTAGTTCAATGTGGGAAATTCAACTGTTAGCCTAAGGGACTTGCAATAAATCAAGTTTTTAGAGGAGACCTGAGATATATCGAAGTATCACTGACCTACACTAGTATTAACCTTGTTTCCGACTAAGATTAAGATTAAAAAAAACTGGATTTAAAAGATTCCCGTAGTGATTTATTGTGACTTGAAATTTCATTGTGAAGGAGAGGTTGGTTTGAAGGGATCCGTGATTTTTCCACGCAGAAAACCGAATGGAAGGATCGTCTTAGAATACAAACTATCGGATTGTGCAGTTTCCTCAGTTCACTGCCCTGCTCCTCAGGTGAATCCATTCTGAGCTTTCGACTGTCACGTGACAATGAAATCACATTTTACGAATACCGCATCAATATTCAAAACCAACAGAAAAGGTGGTCAGCTGTAAATATATTCATTTCTCACTCCGTAGCCTTTTTTGATACTAATGACGTATCTTAGCTACTTCATGTTTGCTAAATATGCTTACAGATAGGTGAATTTGGTTCATTTTAAAGTAAGTTGATTGGTCACAACTGTTTTCTTGCACAAACAAACTAGCACTTTTCCTGTAATTATTTACGCACGATTAGCCACATGAAATTCTGTATTATATTTAGGCACTGTTTAATTCATGAAGTGTGTGAAAACCATAACCTGACTTAAGGCTATTCAAGCCTCTTCGTTTTTATCAGCGGTTTCCCATGCTCCCTTTATCTTTATTATTCTCGTTAATCCTATTCAACAGCCACAAATAGTTAGAACTCGATTTCCCACGTTCGGTACTCCTATTCAGGATGTTGACTGCTTTGTGTTGGTTTGATCTCGTTTTCCAACCTTGGTCGGAATGACAGCGAGACCTTGTAGAATGTACCTAGTTCTGCGTCCTCTGCCACAGTGCTCATGCTAATTTCCAGCAATGGACCATTAACTTGGTACATTCCCAGACGTTTCGTCGGCTTCGTCATTAAGAAGCGCCATCCTTAACCCAGAGTGAAATATCAAAGTGAAAAGTGAAAAGCAGAGTTTCGAGACTACTCATAAATCAGTTATATAAGATGTATTGATCCTATTTCATTTTAGGGTGATGAAGGACTGGTAGTGAAATTGTCCCACAATGATATGAGTAGAGCTGACGTTTCCTTTGAATTTCACATAACCTCGCTTTGCCGAAAGTTGTTTTCGTCCAGACTGAGAGGAACTGCAGTTTCGACCTCGCATAGGTCTTTTCAACACCCTCAGCAGGACTCGAATCTGGACAGTGCAGCATATGAGCTTGACATGTTAACCACTCGGCCACGAGTGCCCTTGGTCCACTGGGCAGATGTGAATTTCAAGGAAGACCAGGCCTTTTCCCATATCACATTCTTTGCTTGGCTTGTCGATGAAGCAAACCTATTTTTACTATAACAATCGGTTACATTTATGATTTTCCGTTTGTAAGCAGAGTTTTGAGACAACCACTAAATTAGATATATGAGTTGTGTTCCCCTACTTCGTTTAATGTGATGCAGGACTGGTAGTAGAAAGCAAGGCAATGTGAAATTCATTGAAAACATCAGCTCTACTCATATCATCGTGGGAAAATTCTACTACCAGTCCTTCATCAGCTTTAACGAAATAGGATGAATACATCTCATATAACTGATAAGCTTTAACCCTTTGCTAAGGATGGCGCTTCTCACTGGCGATGACGACTATGATGCTGGCGAAACGTCTGGGAATGTATCAAATCAATAGCCCGATGCTGGGGTTTATTATTAATACTATGACAGGATGCAGAACTAGGTACGTTCCACAAGGTCTCCCTGCCGCTCCGAACAAGTTGCGAAAACTAGGTTAAATCACTACTATACATCTAAAGAATGCTACGACCAAACAAAGGGCCACACTATCTTGGTCTTCATATCTGTTGACTGTTTTGTTTATTCGAAGGTATGAAGACCAAGATGGTGTGGCCTTTTGTGTGGTCGCAGTTTTTGTTTATTTTTGTATCCTCCTTGGTCTAAGACTCTGAAGCCTTAAAACGCTATGTTTTGGACCAATTTATTGAGTGTTCTGTATTAGTCACACGTTCAGAAAGTTCCTATTTTTGGACCCATACACCTTTAGCTACGGCTTTAGGTTCAGTTAATCTTTTTGTTAGGGTCGGCAGCCACCCCCCCCACAGGCAATTTCCAGACTATCGTCAATTATGGAATAGGATCTTAATCACTCTAGGTCGCCTAAGGTGATGTAAGGACTGTTGAGTTTTCCCACATTCCTACAAATGGGCCTTAGGATTCATTCGAACTTTACTTAGCCCTAGATACGGAGACCAAGATGTTGTTGCCTCTATATTGGTCGCAGTCTCCTTTCGATGTATAGTAATTTTTTGACCTTGATCATATTGGCAGGAAGATCTCCAGCAACGCACTTTGTCCGAAGACCATAGGATGCATGATAATCTCCGGAGTCGAAGCTTAGAATTGGTACACTCCCAAACGCCTCGCATCGTAGATGGGCCTTGCCAATCTCAGCACCAAGATACAATTTCTCAAAGGGACAAATGAAGTCAAGCCCTTGAGCTAATTTCAATTGAAACCGTTTTCTATCACTCCTCTTTCTGTCCTGACCCATCTATCTACTCCCTACGCTCTTATCGCTTTTATCGCCATCCCGCCCTATCACAACTTGGCGATAGGGCGAATTTATCATAGCGTCATCACACCCGCTATTCGCCTTGCCCCTCCCTTTGGAATGGCTGATCCGATTCGTGCCTTATTTTCGGATCTGCCTCATAGACCCGTAGATCCGTTTCTTACCTTTACGGCTGACCGATTGCACTCGTTTCCAGCCCCAGTGTACTTTTCACTCCAGGCGCTATTTCTCAACCCTTCAGTATCTCGTTCCATGTCGCCTAACCTGCTTCCCATGCTTGTGGATATTAGGCATTGCTTTCACACATCATCTCCTTGCTTAAACCCGTTCACCCTGAATAAACTATGCCCTTCTATCTCTGTTCGCATGCTATTTCTTGAGAGGATTTCTAGTCAATTTGGCTAAGGTAGAATTTCTATGACGTTTGTGATTATCCGTCACCCTGGTTACGAGATCGTCAAGCCCCCTAAGTTGTAGTTGTTTCTTCGAGCAGACTACACTCACTGAGAGAGTCTTCTCTTCCCAAACTTCTTTGCCCTCGTCTTCCTTGCTATCCATTTTTCCTTGGTTTGCGATAGAGTTTAGATCCAGGCGTCTCCATTTTGCTACTCATGTCGTATCCTTGTTTTCTCCGAGTTTGCTAAGGCACTAGGCAAAGTTATCGCTAACTAGGCTTCCCTCTAATCTCATCCGATTTTTTCCTCAAGAAGGTCAATGGCTTTCTTACTCTTCTTTTCCTTGTGTTTTCACCGTATAAGGCCATTTTTTCTCTTGCCTTCCAATTGAGCTTATGTCCAGTCTTCGCAATGTGCTTCGCTATTTCTGATGTTTTGGCATCCATATTT